AATTTGGACCATCCTGTATATGCCCTTTTAAGATTTACAGAACCATATCTAATTACATTTATTTGATGATAGATGAAAGGTATATAATAAAAAAATATGCAGTAATTTCGATCATATGAGTTATTTCTTACTACAGTTTTTGGTGGAGTTCTTATATAGCAAAAAGATCAACGATTGAAAATTCTAAAAAGTCTGATACTGTGATATTTTTTTACAATAATTGTCTTCTCGACATTTCTTTATGGAGCTGAATCCTAGATCATCAAATCACTGGAAAGGTGCATGATAGACAGTTTTCAAATGTGGTCGTTCTACAGACGTATGCTGAGGATACCTTGAACAGCTGGAAGAACTAATCTTTCAAATAATAATTGAGCTTTTAACATTAGCACTCGACTGTTAGCTATCTGTCTGAAACGCATCCTCGAGCACTTTGGTCACTTTGCTCGGAGACCTTCCGACAACATAGCAACTGTTAAAATTGCCTTATATCTATCAAAAATAGTAGATAAAATGGTACTTTAACCGCAAGGGTAGATTAAATGATACTTTAACAGCGAAGATAGGTTAAAAACTTTATTTCTTCTCGTCCGTTTTTTAATTTCTTCCATTTTTGAAAATGTTTGTATTCCTTTTGATAAGTTATTCGGGGTTTAAATGGAAGTAGTTTGGATATGGCGTTTGTCGCCTCAGCCTGAATATCTGTTGGTAATTTACTTATTTCGTTTTGAGCCATTTCTGAGTCCAATTCAATCAGAAATCGACTCGAAAGAGAAATAAAATCATTAATAAAAAATATTGACTCAAAACTGACAACTAAAAAGACAGCTTTATTTATTTGTCAAATTACATAGAAACCAACTCCAACCCAGCACAATATTTTTTCTACTCGTAATAAATTCCTTGAAATAATAATTTCTGAATATTTTTTAAAACGTAACTCGCTATGGAAAAAAATATCATTTTATACATGACGATAAAATTGTATTATCGTCTCCCGAAATTAATTCAGTCGCGATTTCATCGCTCGTGAATTAATTTTTTCGGTCGACGATAAAATAACATTTTATCGTCTTGTATAAAAAATAACTAATAACTAGTGATGTCCAAATAAAAAGATGTAGAGATGCGTCCCCAACACGATTAATCGATCAAGTCGGACGAAAAACGGTTCTATCCCTACACTCAGCTACTTACTTACTGCCATTACTGGCTGACGAGTATTTGATATGCATCAGAAGATGGTTTTCTGTGACTGAAAAGCCCGATATGTGATGTTATCTCTCTTCCGCACTCCGGACATTCAAAAATTTCATTGCTTTGTTGCCTCTTTACTTTTTGGTTGTCGTTGTTAACTGGGTTTACAATTCTTCTCCATTGCGTTCTATTGTGCGCTGCTTCCTCCCACTGATTCTGCATGCTTATCCCCCTTAAGTTTTCGTGGAAAATATCCTTGTACCTTTTAAGTTGTCCACCCGATTTCCTCTTACCGTCTACAAGCTCACCGCACCGTAAAGTAGAGATTTTTGTAGGCGGTTTTCTTGCATCTCACATACGTGGCCAGCCCATCTTAAGCGGAATTTAGTAATCATGACTTCAGCCCTCTCTCAGCTAGATTTTCAATGACTGATACATTTGAGACATGGTGGTACCATTTGAATTTAACAGTTGTCTAAGGTGTCTCTGTTACAACCTGTGTAATGCGTTCATGTGCCGGCGCCGCGGCGCGGCGGTACGGCACCCAGGTTTCGCTTCCATATTACACACACTTCCATATGCACTCAACATACAGGGTGGCGCACCTCATTCGCCTCGCTCGATTATACGAAAACGGAAAGATGTAGAAACAAAATATTTTATGTGTATATGTGGGGGGCAATGTGCACAATTTAAAATTATTTTGAAATATACAGGGTGTTTTAGAACTAAGATCCATACTAAAGTTATATTTTTTCTTATGGAATAACCGGTATTTCTCTACCTTTAAACTCCAAGACAACAAGAATTAATTCTGAAAAGTAATGTAGAGGGTGTTAATAATCTACTCTGTTGTAGCATGCAAATTTAAATATCTTTAAATATCTCAAAAACTAAAGATTTTAAACTTATTTAACCCTTATAACAAATGCCTTTTTTGGCCCAAGAATCCAAAAATGAAATAAAATACCGGGTGTGTGTGTGTTCCATAAGAAAAAATATAACTTTGGTATGGATCTTAGTTCTGAAACACCCTGTATATTTCAAAATAATTTTAAATTGTGCACATTGCCCCCCACATATAGTCATAAAATATTTTGTTTCCACATCTTTCCGTTTTCGTATAATCAACCGAGGCGAATGAGGTGCGCCATCCTGTATAAAGCAAAAGACAATCTAATTCATTACTTCCTGTCGGTCCAACTTAAATTTCTAAACAATTCCGCAGCAGTTTTTAACATCAAAGATATACTTGAACTCATTTCAAAGAAGATCTTCCGTTTCACTATATAAAAAAGGGTTACACTCTTATCGACTTTCAAATGAGCCGCCGCGGCGTGTGTGATGCATTGTTCTCCGTGAAAATTCTTGGAAAAATATCCTTGTTTTTCGTTTTTATACGTATAACACAGGAAGCCAGTCTGAGTCTGTTTATCCATTAACCTTAGTATGGAGTATTACGAGAAAAACAATGTTTGGACGAGTAAAAACGGCGTCTGTTGGTTTTGATATTTTCCGAGTGCCTTTAGCAGGAAAACTGTGTTTTTTCGTTCAATATGTTTGTTTATAGTGTTTGTGTGGCGATATAAGGAGGTGATATTTTTGTGTAACATTATCAGGTTGAGAAAATAGCCTGTAGAAAATAATTTCTGATGTATTCAACCCGACAGTTGTATTATTCGCCATTAAAAGGTATTAAAGGTTCGCCATTAAAGGTTCACAACTTGAAAATGATTTATTTTTTCCAACAAAAGAATACGCATATTTGTCTTTCTCTACTAATAAACGAGAAACCCCATAAAACACACGAAAATGTAACACCCTGTACAGAAACGAATATACCTCACTCTATTTTAATAACTGCTTCCTATTAGCACGTTACACATTATTATAGTAACTAGTGATATGTCGGTATTTAAGTGACGCGATTTTGGAGCGGTATTTTTTTGTAACGTCGTGTCGCGCTCCACAACGAATCAGGAACCTGTTACTGAAGAACGACGATCATAATGACGACAAAATTATAAATTATTTATAACTTGCAAATAAATTATTTATAATCGCTCTTGAAGTTATATAGCTTGAACCGTAGTAACCGCATAGCGACGTGTTTAGCCACAGCCGTCACGATTTCGTCGGTCGCCAACAGTAGTAACTGGTATGTACGTAGCGTCGCGCTCTTAGAGCCGTAATTCCGCCTGTCGCGAACAGAAGTAACTGTTAACTGATTATCGACGCTCGACCTCGGCGGCGACTTACTTCGCTCCAGTTGTCGGTCGCGCTCCTAGAGCCGTAATCCGTAGTTCCGCCTGTCGACAGTGTCGCGAACAGAAGTAACTGGTACTTGCTGTAACTGGCTATCGACGCTCGAACTCGGCGACGACGTACTTCGTTCCAACAGTCGCTGGAGCGCTTCTAGGGTTCCGGTTTTGCCTGTCGCGATTGGGTCGGTTGCTATTGGCTTTGGTGCTCACGTCGCTACGTTACTTTCGAAATAGCGATTTTTGGTATGTACTAGGCATGGTATAAAATAGCGTTATTGTAAAAAGACCAAAAAAATACCAATAAATGCCTGTACATATTTTAAGTTAATCTGTTCGTTCTTAAATAATAAAAACTAGACGTCAGTTTGGGGTAGTAGGAATAGATCACATTTTTTTAAAATTTTATTTAATAGTTTAATTTCCAAAATTGAAACCTAACGTATCGCCACTGTTATAAATTCTTCTAGCCATCTGTATTGTTTACAAATTTGTCTATGAAATTGTTTATGAATTTACACGGGCACAGAGATAACGGCAGAGTTGGGAGCAGTGTTGCCAGAACTTATATCATTCTCTATAATAAATTTAAAAATACAATTTATATCATTACGAAAGTTTTATTTTTAAAATTTGCAGTTTGTGAAAAAAGGTGCTGGAAAAGTCAGTAAATCTCAGCAAAATGTATTTTGAGCTGGTAGAATGTAGAATGAGTGGGAGGGGGGTTAATCACTGCGACTTTACAGATCTATCGTGTCCCCATTTCTTGAGTTATCCCAGTCCCAGGACTTTCACAAAAGCCAGTATCTGGGACGGTTTTATAAAGGGTAATTCTCCATCTCCAATATCAGTTGTACCTAAGTTTATGGTACGAATGGTTGTATATATAACAGCTGGTAGAATTGTAAGAACCTGACAACACTAGTTGGGAGTAGGTAGGTACTAATGCCAGAAATACTGCATAAGCGAGGACCGCGACACTTTGGAAGTCGGAACATCAATGCCAACAATAGAAAACAATAAGCTCAACTACAAAGAGAGTATCTAAATATGTGAGGGAGACTACAACATAATTGGAAATCGTTGAATAAGTTTGAAATATTAGTTTTAAGTTGTAAATAGTGTCAAATAGTTTTTTAGTGTTGTTCTTTTGTGTTAATATACTGCGTTAGTTGAATTAGAGTTTTGATTAGAATCCCCAGAAGAACCCAGCAAGAACGTAACGCTATATTAAATTTAATTTATAAGAACTCCACCAATTTTACTTTAACAATTACACTTTCATTTTCACCAAACTAAGTATATATTGCTATCAAAAACGTTTTTTATTCATCCTCTCGTTTCATTTCGCAAACAAAACACCACCGCATAAATTCGTGCATCAATCCAGACAGAAAAACACAACCGCACGACCGTAGGTGGCTCCAACTGCCGGTGGCCGTTGCAGATAATCCACTTCCCCGTGCGGACGATCCTCGACTGCCCATATGCAGCGTAGCGTTAGCGGCCGCGGCCACTTCCTGTGATAAATATTCCGTATAATTAAATCAGGTTGAGGTTGACTCCGCCAGCCATGTAATCTTCACGTAGAAGCGGAACCAGCGTGGGCGGGCGCCTGGAAAATTACCAAAAAAAAGAAGAAGAGTTAATAAAACATGGACGAAACATGCGAAATAGAGAGAAGAGATATAGAGTTTTTAGAGCGGTTGTTTTTGAAGTTATTAGTTTTCTGGATTTGGTTAATACGGTGTACAATTTTGTGATTTATTTCATTTTAGAAATATACAATCACCGGCAGGAAAAACGGGCACCTTAAAATTGCCCTCTATACAGAGTGTCCCAGAAATAAGTGCAAATATTTTAAGGGGTGGTAGATCTGGTCAAAAGAAACATATTTTCTCTTTACCATTTTTAAAATAAATTGAAAATAACCGAATATTTAACTTTGAAAATTTAAAAAAATAATAGCAACATTTTGATATCCGCCGGCAGATTTCGCCAACTACCGTCCAATTACCCGGATCAAGTCCGGATCTCAGGTAATTCGACGCCCTGTGTTGCCATATGGACAAGAAAGTATATACTTTTTTTAAGATATTTTTTTTAAGATTGTGATATTATTACAGAAAATAAATAAAAAAACTTACCTAACATTAAATAAAGATACTTATGACAAATCGATATAATTATGACGTTCTCTTTTTTGATACACACTTTAATAAAATACACTTCACTGTGCTGCTTTACTTGTACATGCTATTATAATATCTGCTAAAATAACAGTCCCCATTTCTAACACATCTTTTCATATACGCTTTATTACAATTTGAACCACTGATTTACAAAACACCTTGAAAAGCGCACATTACTTTGAATACCTTTCTGAATGAATAAATGTTGAGAATTATTGTCTCTTATCGCCACTTTACGAACTACTTTCAATCTAAGAAAATACATGTTTCACTGAACAATTTTAAATACGTATTTTGTTTTTTCGCTATTTTTTCGATGTATTTCGACAATGCCATCGACAGCCCAACCGTGTGCCAAGAGTGCCGCGTGTCAACTGGTTCTTTGAGGCGCTGCGCCGCCGTGGGGGGCTTGCGTCATGCGACGATATTAAGCGACGTTGCCGTAGTTACACAATTTCAAATTCAAGACATTCGAAGCAATCAAATTCGTATTAAATTTTAAAAATAAAACAGAGAAACATGAAAGGAAACAAACAAAACAAAAACGCATTGATTATTCGTCGGACTGTTTTCGATAAATTGAATTCTGAATTACGATTCTGTTTTATTTTTAAAATTTAATACGAATTTGATTGGTTCGAATGTCTTGAATTTGAAATTGTTGTAACTACGGCAACATCGGTTAATATCGTCGCATGACGTAAGATCGCTACGGCGGCGCGGTGTCTCAAAGAACCACGTTGACACGCAAGTACTACGTTGACAATCAAAGAACCACGTTGATACCCAAAGTTGACACGCGGAACTCTTGACCCACGGTTGCGCTGTCGATGTCATTATCGAAATCCATCGAAAAAAATAGCGAAAAAACAAAATACGTATTTAAAATTGTTGAGTGAAACATGTATTATGATGAATCATTTTATTAAATTTATTCCAAAATAAAGTTATTTTGCAGCATAACAAAGATTTTCGTAAACGTCATAAATGTAATGTTTTTTTTTCTAGAATTATTAGTAATGAGCACTGATAAAAGATTAAATTTAACATTGCTAATTTTTTGTGTAGAAATTTGTCTGTCAATTTATAAATATAGAACTATGTAGAATGTGGATAACATAGGAGGTTACAACACTGCAATGTTTAGATACACCGTAGAGAAATCTTAGGTGAATAAACAAGTGGCACTAAAAAGTTTTTAAAGATTTTCCGGAAAATGTCAAGAAAAATTTTAAATTTTCAACAATTTTTTTTCGCAAAAAACCTCGTAGGCGTGTTTCTAGGACCGAAATATACTTCCAGTTAAAATACTTGCACTTATTTCTGAGACACCCTGTATTTAACAAAATATTTTTTTTACATTTAAGAAAGCTGGTTCTTTAATATATCTGTTGCTATGCTCTCCTGTGCTTTCCTGACCAAAGTACGGACCGTTTAATTTATTCTGTGCCCTGTGTCCCATGAATGCTGACAAATCTTAGATTTGTGAGAATCTCCCTTTCTTAAATAATCTTTATGTTCGTTAATTGTAACATTTAAGGGTCTAGATGTTTCACCAATGTAAAATTTATCGCATTCACAGGGTATTTGGTATATTACATTTTTTGTTTGTTGTTCTGTATTTATTGGTTTTGTATGTGATAAAATGGATCTAAGTGTATTTTGTGTTTTGAAAGATGTTCGTATGTTATATTGTTTTCCTATCCTTATTTTTTCCGAAACGCCTCGTATGTATGGAATTGTAAGTTGTATATATTGTGTATTGTTATTATTGTGTCTATGACTTGGGGTTTGTATTTCGTTTAATGTTTTGTCAATAAAATATGGTGGATAGTCGTTTTTTATTAATGTATTTTTTATGCATTCATTTTCAGCATTCATGGGACACAGGGCTCAGAATAAATTTTAATAACGCCAAAATTATAATGAAAGAAGCGATAGCCTCTAAAAGAAAAATAAAAGAGGCTTTTTTAATTCAATCTAATAAAAATAAATGTATTGCTCATGCATCTGTAGATGTTAGTAATGTATGGCAATCGGCTTTTTTGATTCAAAAGAACATAACATAAATAAACATAACATACGTAAAATTTAAAAATAATCATACAGAAAGTTTGGGTTTTGATTTTACCTTATTAAGTAATTGTTATCAGGTAGTAATTGTTAATTTTGAAGTTTAACTTAATATAATGTCATTTTAACAGAACGTCAACGATTTCTTGTAGACGTATCTGTTTTAAAAAGTAAAGTGTTCTCGAATAGTTCAATTTAAATATTTTAAATAGTTTTTTTCTTGATTCTTTATATTTTTTTGCTTCCGACGACGGAAAGAGAAAACTTTCCGAAACGTTAAGCATTTTTTTTTCTTTGTTAGGCAAATTTTTATTACTGTAAACACAACTTCTGACAAGCAGCGTCCGTTTAGGTTTACCGCAGAAGTGTTTACAAAAAATAACTATTTTATTTTGTAGATTTTTTTGCAGTGCAGTGGCGAAATACCCATAAAGGATTTTTTTGGATATAATATAAATACTGTCTTATTACACGCTCCTTCCCCGTCATTTAAACTAACTACAATAGATAATATGGCTCCCCTCACCTAAAAAGTTCTCGAAAAGATTTTCACAACCTTTTCTGAGAATTGTTTTTTAGTAACGCCTCTTGTTGAACCTAAATTGAGTATTACTACCCTTTCTGATTGTAATTTAGTTGTTTAATTTCCAACTAAGCTCACCGTAAGATGTTTGTGATTAAGTAATTGTGATAAAAATAATTCTTAACTATCTTTAAACAAACATTTTTTAACCTTTTGAATTTGTTTGTGATTGTATTTGATAACCTGACCTCTGTATGACTATATCAGAATTGTTTAACTATTCTGATTGTAATTTGATTATATTAGCTTTCTGGGCCTGAGGATGGGAATTAAATGAATCCCGAAACATGTCGCCCCAATTTTAAATCAAATTAAATTTTGAAATAAACATTCTAAAAGATTGTGAGTTTTTTGAATCCCCTACCCCTCGTCAGAGGTTTGACATTGATATGTACTTACACTGGGTTGGAGAACGTTTAGTAAATTGAATTAAGTTAGCAGATAAAAAGCTAGCGGTCTCTGTGTGACTCATTTTGACTTAAGCGAATTTTGTATCTTATTGAATTTCAAATTTAAAGGCTCCACACTACCTTCACCTATATAATCTTAAATATTTTCTTTTCATTCACCTGTTACTTACTCTGTCGTCGTTCCGGCGAACGGACTGGCCAGCTGCTTGGCCTGCGCCGCCCTGGCCTTGGCCAGCAGGCTCATGACCGTCCGCTTGGTGGGCGTCATAGGCCGTCCTGGGGCCCGCGGTCAGCAGCGGCCTCTTGCGGCCAGCGGCAGAGGCCACCATCAGGCTCTGGGGAATCATCTCGTCGGAGCCGTTCAAACTGGGCGACGACATCTGGTTGGAGCCGTTGGTGGAGAGGATGCCGAGTTGTTCGGATGCTGGCGCGGATGAAGCGGAGGTTTCTGGAAGACGCAAGTTTTTTGTGATAAAAATAATGACAATATTCTGGTATTTTTATTTTTGGTGGTCCAGTTTTGCAATTTGATACAGTTGTTTGGTTGGTTATAGGCCAGTAACAGACTTTGGAGTTTTTAGATTTGTATTTTGTCTATGTCTTGATTAATAGGTATACACTCAGATGCAAAAAAAAACATGGAAAATTTGTTGGTCAAGTTGAAAGTGTTATATCTGTTAATAGTGCAAAATATCACAATATTTTGCACTATTAACAGTTTCATCAACTATAGACAGAGGTGTAGCACCACGCTGAGATGCTCCCCAAACCATTATTTTAGTGGGAAATTTTGAAACTTGAACGGTAACATTTTCTTTTGATAGGATTTTTAAGTGTTTAAGTCGTAAGTAGTAACTTTTGTCAGAAATAAAAACATTATTAAAATTATCTTCTTGAAAACGTTGACAAAAGTCCATTCTTCGCTGCCTTTGTAGAGGTGTTATTACAGGGATTTTTTTCGCTTCCTTGATATGTAGACTTGTCTTTTCAGTGACATGCGGACGCTTTCCGGACACACTTTTAATTTTCGCTGACTTCCATATCTGTTAGCCAATTTGCGAAACCCTAGGCGCGGATTCTGTCGTCCTAATGCCACTAAAGCGTTTAAATTGTTTTCGCGAAACTTACGCGGTCTTCCTGAAACTGGTCCATGCTTCATATTTGTGCCATTTTTTATCCTCTTTATTGTCTCATATACTACACTTTTTCCGAGTTCAGTCAATTGCACTATTTTTTTAACGTTTCGAACATCTTTTCTATTCAAATATTCCACCATTTCAATTTTTTTTTACTTGCGACGTTATTTCTCAAATCTTAAGCCGGTTTACAATAAACAACAATATTTGACAGATGGCGTTGCCATCCGATTTTGGTCATAGCCTACTATCGGCACACCTATGTGATGGATTACTGTTGTCTTAGAGTGTTACAGAAAAAAATACATTAAAGTTAGGAAAAATATAAAATTCCGGATACTTTCTAGACGGACTATATTTTGTGAATTGAGTTGATTCAGAAAAGAATCCAACTGTCTATCGGTTTCGTTCCAGATTATGAAAGTATCGTCAACATATCAAAGCCAGATTTTAGGATTGACGACTGCAGAACTAATGGCATGGGTCTCAAACCATTCTATATATGCTATATCAATCCCAAGTAGCATCTATCTGACTTCGAACTAAATCTGACCTGAAGCGACGTCAGACTTTGTGCAAATTTAGGTCGGGTGCTGGTGATGCGACCTGTGACGTCGTTTTCCTATTAAAAGCGACGTCGTTGGATCCGAGTCGGCAAATCCAACGATCTGTCGACGTACAAAATAACAACGTACCGTTTCTATTAATTACCCAACGTCGTTCCCACGTTGGCTTGCACGACGTACATATACTTGAACTAGCCCGACGTCTACCCGTTGTCCGAATAGGATACGTCTCACTGATAATCCCTAAAGTAACGTCCAATTATATTTTGTTGTATTTTATGTTCATTATTATAACCTAATTTACGTATCTCTATTTACGTCCGTAAATACAACCCATTAAGTAGTATTTGCGACCTAATGAACATCATGAATATAACTTAATAAAAAGTTTTTACAAAAGTAAACATACTTAATTTACGCCTAAAAAAACACTAAAAAGGCATTTAGACATTCATCTACATTTTACAGAAAGAGGTCGAGGCTTTTGCAAAATAATAATAGTAGTAGTGATGTCTTGCCTCCACCCATATTGATAAGGTTGAGTTTGGGAGAACCACAGTACAGTTTTATGATTAAACCAGTTAGAAAATTAAAACAATATTTTGCGAGTTACTTTTTATAGATATTTTTATTTCATAAAACTTATCTTTAACTTAAAAATAAGAATTGTGCAGACAGCACCTCAAGAGTTCCATCAATCCCTTAAGAGGCAGCAAGGTTCTTTCTGAAAATGTTATGTCCTCAATCTAGCCTCGACAATTTCTAACGATTCCTCAAAGGCGACGTTATTATTTAAATGTTCCACTTTAAAACTAAAAGATTTGTCTGAAGGACCTAATTGTATGTTCTTAAGTATTTCTACAAAATGTTTGGCATTCTTAACAAATGAATATATTGTATGTGTACGGTTCTTTACATTTACCAACTTTTTACGAGTTTAGGATTTTTTCATAATTTGTCATTTTATGATATTCCGTTCTTATTTTATTTAATTTTATTTTACCTGTTGGGACTCCTCTCATAGCAGGGTGTTCGTGATCTTGTGGACTTTGGGACCCGGATTCACCTCCTGTATCGATAGTGATTCTCTCCTCGTCTCCGGATCCAAACTGTTTTGTGTCGTCGCCCTTATTTTTTTGGCTGGACAATACTTGCATCTCCCACATTTGTTCCTGGCGAATGTCGTCATTATAATCCTGTAACAAAGATATGAGAGAATAAATAAATGTGGTATAATTACGTAAAAATAATTTTTCGTATTCAAAAAGATCTTTTTTTTTCGTATTCAAAAAATAGAGGTTTTTTAAATTGTGACGATTATTTAGTATCTCTGAATAAAATGATTAAGGAAGGAGCATATCGAAAATCTTAAATCGAACGCGACGGGTCTTAAAATGGCCGACTTAAATTGCGATTTATTAGTGCCGTTCTAATTTTATTCAAAACGCTGTGAATAAATGTTGGTAGTTATTAATTTTTTTTATAAAAGTACCTATACAATTCTAATAAAAATAGATAAGTTATAATAATTATTTATTAACACAAACATTCGATACGCTACTGAAGCAGGTAAGTCAAATTTACTTATCTAAATTCTTTGACATCTAATCTTTGACAAGTAGTAAATAAAAGCAAAAATGCAAGAAAAAATATATAATTACTTAATTTTAAGTAAATTTCATAAATGATTGGTTTACTAAGCATATGTACATTATATAGTCACTTACTAGCGTAAAGTTATTCCATTATTTCCCTGAATTTTTGACCGAGATCTACCGCACGCTACACAAACAACTACACTCACCGGCAAAAAAAACCGGCCACTAAAAACTAGTCCCACTTTCTAAGTTGGATTTCTCGCGAACTGCTCATTAGATTTTGATGTTTCTTTTTAAATTGTAAATTAATTCCTTCTTAACGGGTGCTACGTCAGTAATGATTCCGAATTTATTTTGAGCATATACAGAGCACAACAATAAGACGAAGTTTTTTGCCCGAACTTTGTAACACCCTGTAGGGTGCAGCAGCTGTAGTAGCTATTGCTAAATCAAATCGCATTGTAGCCTCATCTTTTGTGAGCATTTTGTTTTTTTAATCACGACATTATCTCGGTTTGTATTGGAGATACGCTGCTTTAAAACGAACGTCTTAGAAAAATGCTTCGCAGGCAAAACCGCGATTCATCCGTGAAAAGGATTTTAGTCCATTGCTCAATATCAATCGTCGAAGACGTGCTCGACGATGTCTTGGAAGTAGCTGGGGTCTTGTGGCAGGCCTCCTTGCAGACAAGCTGTTTTCTTTTAGACTTCATCGGATTGTTCTATCACTGCGTTGAGTTCTACGCGCACGGCTTGTAGCAGATGCTGATTCTGAGTCGCAATTCTACGATTTCGTAAAGTATTCAGGACAATAAAGCGGTCGTCAATTGCATTTGTCTTCCGTTTTCTTCCGGAACCCACTCGCCTGGTGAAATTTCCCGTTTCCATATACCGATTCCAGTCATCCTGGACTGTTGTTCGTGGTATATCCAGGGTATCGGACACATAACGTTGACTTCGGCCATCCTCAATTACAGCCACAATACGAGCAACATCCATCACAGATAATGGCATTTTTTTAATTTGACAATGATGTCGCCTTGATTGTTTACACATAAAACTTTCTGCCTGCGAAGTATTTTTCCGAGACGTTCGTTTTAAAGCAGCGTATCTCCAAAACAAACAGAGATAATGTCGTGATTAAAAAAACAAAATGCTCGCAAAAGATGAGGCTACAATGTGATTTGATTATAATAAAGTCTTATTGTTGTGCCCTGTATATGCTCAAAATAAATTCGGAATAAAAATTGCCGACATAGCATCCGTTAAGAAGGAATTAATTAACAATTAAAAAAAAATCATCAAAATCCAATGAGTGGTTCGCGAGAAATCCAACTTCGAAATTGGGACTAGTTTTTACTGACCGGTTTTTTTGCCGGTGAGTTTATTTTACACTTCTTTGCGATAATTCGCGATAGTGTCACTGTTAATTTAAGTTCTGCTACAATTTCCTTCTAGATTTATTACTTTTAAACAACTATTCCTAGTAGAATAAACAATAAATAACATAAAATAAGCTCAATAAAGACTGACAAATCCACAAAATTTCAAATCAAATTCAAATGTGTCAAATGAATCGTCAAACAGAACTGTCAAGGATCTCCACCCTAGGGCCCTTTGTCATGAATGCACGGATAGTATTATACTCCTGCTTTAATCTTTTTATTCATTTTTGTATATATATATTTTATAATACAATTAGACCAAACTAATTTATTATATTCGTTTACAATCAATATTATTACGATTTATTTTAATATATTTTACGAATACATCCATGATGTAGCCCTCGCATTCCAAGCACTCAAAAATAAAATTAATTAAATAAATTAATTGTACGATGATACTTTTTGTACAATGCTTTTATTTTGAAATATGTATACTTGAATAACAAAAATTTACTGTATTCCACTTACTATAATTGAAATGGGTGAAATCCCGGGAAAAATAATGAAATTACGTTTTTCATATGTATATACGTAGGAGTGTAGCAATTAGAATAAAATAATTGACACACAATAAGCTCGAACAGTATATTTATTATTTTGGATTTATTTAGTACAGATAAAACAATTTGTAATTAAAAATATAATATTTAAATAATTTTAAAATAGACTTTAAATGGTGTTGGCATCAACTTAAACAATTCTACAAGATCAATTATAAATTTTAAAAATCCACAACTTTTTTTTCTAGTTCTTACCGTTTCTCCGAAATTCCGAAAAATAATTTTATTTATTTCTTTCACCCCTTCTCGGGGGTGAATTTAAGAAAATCTTTCACAATTCGTTTTTAGAACTTTCAAAGTAACTTATATTAAAAATTCAAGTTTTTACCAAAACTTCGTACTTAAAGGCCTATTTTCTTGAACTAATAATTAACAGAATCTTATTAAATATTAGCATAACATACATACATACATACTGTCATTACTCGCTGACGAGTATTCGACACGCATCAAAAGATAGTCACGCAAGGCGTTTTCTGTCATGAGCTTTCCTGTGACTGAAAAGCCCGATACGTGATGTTCTTTGCCTATCGCACTCCGGACATTCACAAATCTCATTGCTTTGTTGCCTCTTTACTTTTTGGTTGTCGCTGTTAACTGAGTTTACAATTCTTCTCCATTGAGTTCTATTGTGAACTGCTTCTTCCCAATGATTCCGCATGGTTAATTCCCTTTAAGTTTCGTGGAAAATGTCCTTGTACCTTTTGAGCTGTCCACCCGGCCTCCTCTACCGTCTACAAGCTCACCGATAAAGCAGAAATTTTGTATGCGGTTTCTTGCATTCTGCAGACGTGACCAGCCCATCCTTAAGCGGGATTTGGTAACCATGACTTCAATACTCTCTCGCAGTTAGTTTTTTCAGGACCGATACGTTTGAGACATGATGGAACCAACCGGATTCTTAAGAGCTATCTAAGGTGTCTCCGTTGCAACTTTTTTAATGCTTTATGTTGTCGGGCAGTACGGCACCAGGTTCGCCTTTCATATAACATGGTCCGGATTATAATTGCTCGGTACAACTGCAAGTTTCGTTTATGTACTCAAGTCATGATTGTAGAAACCCTGTTTTTTAATTTTCAGAATGCTCCTGAGGCGCTGCTAATCCTTGTTGAATTTCAAGTCCTACTATATTTTCCGAAATCAAACTGTCGAGGTATTAAATTCCGCTACATATTCTAGTAGTTCTTCTCCGATTTTTATAAGCATGCCTTATGATTTTCCGGGGGAGTGCACATATTTTTGGTTTTGTTCCGATGTTTTGCTTAAGGTCCAAAGCCTCGTAGCCCAGGTATATGTGTTCAACATTTCTTGTAAATTTGTTTGTAACGTGTTTGCAACTAGAGCGCAGTCATCAGCGTATTCAAAAGTTCTGTGATAAATTTAGTACGTGTTATGCCCTGAGTGCTTTTTTTGTTGAACAGATCGCCGTCGTACTTGTATCTAATGCCCAATCCTCTCTCCTGCAGTTTGCGGTCCACTATAATGGAGAGTTCTGCCATGAATATGTTGAATAGGAAAGTCGCTAAGACACATCCCTGACTAACTCCTGTATTTTTTAAGAAGGGATCGCTCAGTGATCCATGATGTGACACTCTTGACTGGTTGTTGTTATGGAGGCCTTTTACATACTGTAAGTAATTTGTTGGGTACTCCGAACTTTTCATAATTGCCCAAAGTGCATCTTTGTTCACAGAATAGAAGGCTTTTGTAGATCGAATGATGCAACATAAAGTTTAGACTGCTGCCCTTGTTACTTTTTTCCTGTAGTTGGCGGAGGGAAAATATGGAATCTCGACGGTTCCACGGTTGGTGCGAAAACCTGTTTGCAATTCTGGAAGGATTTTTTTTATATGTGGGTGCAGGCGGTTTGACATAATTTTTGCAGGAATTTTTTCTCCGATAGCCAGTAACGAAATTCCTCGGTAGTTTCCGCAGTCTGATGCACTTCCTTTGTTCTTAAATTCACCATATTCGTGTTTTGAATGAGGTACCTCATGTTCTGAGGTACCTCTCCGCTTTCCCATATGATATCGAAGAGAACCTTAAGATGACCAATAAGTTCTTTACTTGCACACTTATAGATTTTCGCCGGGATTGCGTCACAGCCAGCTGACCTGTTAGCTTATTAGCAAAACAATGAACAATTAAAGGATACTTTCAAATTTTCTAGTCTAGTTTTCTAATTTTTTGGTCGTGTTTACAAAGCTATTTAACCAATTTTGTGCAGAACAATAAAAGCCAGGCGTTGCGTTCTCTGTCGAAAAGAAAATCCCACCTATCTTTCTGAACGTCGAATCGGTCGAATGAAATGTGAAAAAATCCTTGGGATTTTGGCATATGGTGTATTTGAAATTATATAATAGGTATCAAATTATTTGTAAAAAAATGCTTTTCCCAAATATGCTAATGAGCCACCCTCGTTCCATTTGAAAAAATTGAGATATGATTAAAAATACGATTTGAGCATTTTCTAACTGGCCAGGACAAGGCACTAAAACATTAGACGATCAAATCTATTTTTCCCAGGTTCCTTGATTAAGAATTAGTGTTTTTAACATAGCCATTGAACATTTAAATTTAAAATTCAATT